GAAAATTTTGAAGAATCATAGAGTGTATACCCTTATACTTACCACCTAGATTCAACAGTGGTTAACATTTTTGCCATATTTGCTTTCTCTATGTAAGATTTAAAAACCATTTGAAAGTTGTAGACATCAAACCCTTCATCCTTAAATATTTCTGCATGCATCTCCTAAAAATAAAGGACATTTTCCTACATAACTATGCACTGTTATTAACCTAATAAAATAGTGTCACCACTTTTCCTATTCATGGCAGAGTGCTTATTTTTTATTTTCTACTTGGAAAAAGTTATAGCTACTGATGATGGTTACAAGGACCAGTTTCAAAAAGTAATAAAATTATTGGATCAATAAATAGCCAGGAAAAGAAATGAGAAGAAACAGTTTTCAACTCAATAGAGCTCTAAGAGTAGGGTAAGTGTTGACATGAACTTTGTCCATCCTCGGAATGAAATCTTCCGCAAGTTCTTTTTTTTTTTTTTTTTCCTAGCTGTCTTCACCTATTAAAAAGTTTCCATGAATTGATTTTTAGATTGAAAACATTGACAGTAAGTGTTTAGCCCAGCTCCCATTCCCTGCTTGCAGTCATCTTTCTGTTTTAATGAAAGTCTCAGTTTCTTCCTAGGCCATAAAATTGACCGTAGTTATAAGTATGCACTGTTCCACCCTTCTTTTTTGGTCTTCCATGTTAGATTCCTCTTGAGTGGATGTTGGAAAGCTAGTAAGAACATCTATTTTGCTGAACCTTTCTTTAGTCAGAGTACTGTTTTGGTCATTCAGAGGTGGTAAGGTCTTTCTGATTCCTGATGGGTGTGTGGCCTTAGTAGCAATCTTATAGGCACTCCCCAGGTGAGCGAACCTTCTTGTGATTCGGGATAACTATCACCGGAAGCTCTAAAATGCTACTATTGTTCATGCCTGCCTTGACCCGATCATTTTTCTGACTTCCCATTTTAATTTGTGTCCAAATAAGGTGAATAGTTTTCTTTTTCTCATAAATAACGTGGGTCCTTTTGAGTTTTTTACTTATTCAGAGAATGGAAACAAAAGTTATATAATTTTATTTCCCTGAGAATCTGAGCTAATACTCAGACTTCAGGCATTCTTTTAATTCTGATTTTCTTAACTGTTTTCTACCCCCATATTTTTGGATGATGTCCCTGGCTGTATAATCAGTATATAATTTTTCTTCATAAGACCAGTAATCTACTGTCTTATGAATGTATACATAGTACAAAAATAAATGTTCTGTGTTTGTGAATGTATGCAAGATTAGTTCTTTCAAGAATTCAGTTTAACTAGGGGATTACAATTAATTCATTTAAAGAATTAACAATGGTAATTAATATGTTCTTAAGAAAACCAGATGTTCAGAGTGTTATATAATTGGAAAATTTTGGGTAAAAGTTTTGAATAGCGTTTGAATAGATATGGCTCTAAATTCTAATAATTGACTGTCTAGCCTGGGACAAATCACTTTACCTGTTACTGACTCAGTGACCTCATCTATAAAATGAAGACTGAACAAAATTGTATTTCATCAGGGAACACATGTCAGTGTCACCAAATTCTTTTACTCTAATTCAGATTAACTTGATTGTCAGTGCAGTTGAAACTGTGCACTAGGCCCATCCTTCACCCTAAGTAGGAAAGGCTGCTTTGGACTTACAGCCTCTGTGTGAGAGGCATTTGGAGTTACCTTTGTTTTAGTGTCCCTGGTTAGCTGCAGTCAACTAGACTATTAACTTTGAAGGCAGGGGCCATGCCTGTCTTGCTATCCTCTGTCCCTGGCCCCAGGCCAAGTGCCTAGCACATGGAATAAATGCTCATTCATTAAATATTTGTTGAATGAATGACTGCCAACCTAGGACATTTACAGTACATTACCTCAGCAATCTTTACAGCCAAACTAATAGTGAGATAGGTGGTATCAACTCAGTTTTGCAGAGGAGTAAAACTGATGTAAAGTCTTAGCACCTTGCTCAGAGCCTCACAGCCAAGGGTTAATGCTGACTCTAAAGATTATATTCTTTAAAAAAAATTTTTTTATTGTGGTAAAATATACATGACACAAAATTTACCATTTTAAGTGTACGTATACCGTGACATAAAGTATATTCACAATGTTGTGCAACCATCACCACCATCCACTTTAACCTGTGCATTTTCTTCCCACTATTATGTTGTCTCTGTTCTTCAGGGTGCTTTTAACTGTCTGAAATCAGATTAAAAACTTTTTTGAGCAGAACACTGAAGTAACCTGAAAGTTTAAACTTTCAGACTGGACCAAATACTGGGTCAGTGCTTCCCCTTTCCCATCACCTCAGCCAGCTCTGTTTCGTGTAGAATTTCTTGTTGGCTAATAATAGCTGAGTATGTTGTTTTGAACAGGAATATATGCAGTCATGTCTACTTTTCTGACATTGAATTGGAGCTGTTTGGTCTCCCTACTCGGCCCCGTGGGGCAGTGATTCGAATGGTCTGAACTCCGATTCACTGTGTACCCACATTTGGAGCTGTGTACTTACCTGATTAGTTAGAGCACCACTGGGCTAAAGTCCACTTTCCGCCTCCTATTTGGGAAATGAATTTGCTTTGTCATCCTCCACTCCAGCTTCCTGCCAGGATTCCAGTTCACTGCTTTCAGTTTCAGTTTGGGCTTTAAAAATGTTTCTTAATCTTTCTCTGGCTGAATTACCTGTATGATACAGATACAAATAAACAGTTTTGTTGGCTTCAACTGTGGGATGAGTTGGAAATGTGTGAAAGATTTGAGGAGGGGGATGGATCTGCCTAAGTAGGGTAGCTTGACTTTTCCACTTGTTAAATGCTCCTACTGCAGTGGTCTTGAAATCCTGTGCTGATGGCAGAGCCAAGGGGTGAAATATGACACAGGCTAGGGACAAAAATTGGCAATTGTCCTGAGTTCACAAATAATTTCTTCCCTCCCAAGCATATTTTACAGCCAAGTGAACAGGAAACAATTCAGCAGGCTACTTGCTGGAAACCTATGGCAGAAAAATTATCTTAACAAAAAGGTACACATACAGCTTTTACAAAACGTTCTCAAAAGAACCGGTTGGGAATTTAGGCTTATTTTTCTCCCATTTTATGCCTTATCCTTAAGTGTAAGGCTTATTCCAGACATATTTCTAAGCCTGTTTTTGAGTGGTAGAAGCTGAACTTCCCCAAGTTTAACCAGTCACGTATCTTTCACTTTGGATCACTGTCAGCCAGATAGGAAACTGTGAGAAGACTTAAGTCCAAGCCTTTGTGTGGAACAGTCAAGCAAACAGGTGCAGTTTGGCCCCCGGCCCAGCTCTCCTCCATGTAAATTTTATCAAGCACACACACGATGGGAAGGCAGTTGGTGTTGTTGTAATTCCAGTTATTACTAGTATGACAGGCCACCATTGCATGAGGCTTGACCTGAGGTAGCTGTTCTAAATATAGCCTTCCTTTCTGGCAGCTGCAAACACCTGGAAGAGCAGGCAGGGCCCTAGCAGAAAAGTATTTGCTGTTAATAGCATGTCTGTTGAACAGTTGTGTACTGTCAGAGCTTGTATTGTGCTATGTTTATGCGTAATTAAAAACAGCCCACTGGATCCATTGGTTTATAGTCGGGTTATGTTTAGAAACATGCAGTTTGGGTTGTTGTCTACTGTAGAAACTGGGGATGACGTCATTGGTTTGAGCAAGACCAGAAGAGAAGCGGTTAATGTAATTACCAACAGTTTCTTTGATCTCTGTTATGAACACAGCTTACTTAAACACTTTGGCCTTTGATTTCTGGCACTGATGAACCAAGCTGTCAATCATGTGATTCTGTTCAATTAGGAACCCTGGTTTATGTGCTTGGTAGTTCATTCTGACAAAAGGGAGTTTAAAGTAAAAAAGAACACCAATATTTAGAAAATGATGCTTCCAAGAAAGAAACTGTAATACAAATTGCTCTTAAACATGTAAAAAGATCCTCAACCTGTCTTATATTAAGAGAAAAGCATTTTAAGACCTCACTGAGACATTATTTTTTTTACCTATTAGACTGGCAGAAATTCAAAATATTGGAGAAACAGTGATGATGAGGAAGTAGGGAAATAGGCATTCCTCTTATATTCTTGGTGAGAGCATTAGTATACAACTTTTATTGAGGAAAGTTTGGTGTATTTATTAAAACCCCAAATATATACCCTTTGACCCAGCAATATCATGGGAATTTATCACATGGATATACTTTCATGTATACAAAATGATACGTGCTTAAGCTTATTTAGGGAAGAGTTAATGATTGGAATCAAACTCAAAGTTGACAAGTTAAATAAATAATGATACATCCATGTAATGGGTACAGCTATAAAAAACAATGTGGATATTATTTATGTACTGACAGAAATGTCTTCAAGATACAGTGTTAAGAGAATAAAGCAAAGGCCAATGTATATTATGCTACCAATTGTGTAAAAATGGAAAATAATATATTAATATATCATGTTTGCTTGTATATGTGTAAGAAAGTTCTGGAAGGAAATTTAAGAAAGTAGTATGAACAGTTATGTGTGTTCGTGTATTGAGGGAAGAAGAGATAAGATGGCTCTTTTTCTTTGCGTGAAACTTTTTGAGCGATTGCATATATTACTTTTCAACAAAATAATTAGAATATTTTAAAAAGTAGGGTTTCTTTGAATCCCACAGTCACAGTTACAGAGGAGCTCTCTTTTAATTGACTTCCTTACCCATTCTTGCTATTCTGTAGGTAATAGATTTCCTCATGTGGTTGCTGATTGTACTAGTATTTGTTACTTTCTATGTGGGTACCTTGGGAAGAAAGTGATAACACAAGTTTGTCCTGGTGTTTTTCCTGTTATTCCTCAGCCAGAACCAATGGCTTTAAAGAGCCTCAGGTTGGGACAAACCCTAAAATACAGGCTTTTCCCTTTTGTTTGACAATTAGAATAATATCCTATGGACAGGACTGAAGTCTTTCGCCTTTTCTCTTTTTTTTATAGGAACCTACAAGCAGCAATTGGTGCCTATTATGACTTTGAGAGCCCAAACATCAGTGTGCCCTCTATGTCCTTTGTTGAAGATGTCACCATAGGAGAAGGGGAGTCAATACCTCCTGATACTCAGTTTATAAAAACATGGCGGATCCAGAATTCTGGTAAGTGTATGATGTATAATGGGCAATGCTCCATTGTCTAGTTTTCTTTTTCTTAATAGTTAAAAGAAATAAGAAGGAAATATTTTAGCCTATGTGTATGATTGTGTAACTCTGAGCTTTTTCTTATACATGATATGTCGCATTTTCTTATGTTGGAATGATGACCAAACATTAGTGAAATATCCTTTGCTCTAGAATAGGAAGAAGAATTCAGGTTTCATGCTTCTAAGATACCTATGACATAGTGGCATCTAAACATACTCCAGTATTCATTTGGTACTAGGAACTAGACTTGTATGTGGTGGGGTATTGTCTCTACCTGTATAGTTTTACTTCATCATTTTATTTCTGCTCTAATTAATCTTTCAGTCATTTCCAGCAGGCTAGGGGAGGTATATCCTTGAATAGAACAGGATAGTTGGAAAGAGCTGTGAGCATCTGCTGTTTTGAAAGCTCATTTCTTTGCAACCACAAGGATGATTCTCTCTGAAATTTCATTAGGATATCTAACACATTAATTAATACCACTTTGAAAAATAGGGTAAAAAGTGTGGGAATTTGCACAGAAGGGAAAAGAAATTATTAGTTTAAAAAATACCAAAAAACATTGTTTTGAGGTACTACTACTTCTTTTTAGACAAATTAAAAATAAGTTAATCATAGTTCTTCGAAAATAGTATCTGAATATGTGTCTGGGAATTGTTAATTATTATCTTTTATTTGTTAAATTATTTTCTGATGACTTTTTTTTATTTGAGTGGGTTTAGTATCTCTTGTCCCATCGAATGACAGTTTATGTTGACTGAGGGTGTTTTAACTTCCTTGTTAATGAGGACTTCCAGAGAAATTCTGAGAGATGGAAAACTAGGTCAAAAAGAGTATTTATTTGCATGTATTGAGGTAAAAAAAAAAAAAAAAAGTATTTAGCTAAAAATATACAGGTTTGGAGGTACCCTGTCTAGCAAGGTAGTTTGACGTGAAATGACATAAAACTCTGGGGAACTCAAACCTGTAAAAGTGACTTTTTATTGACTTGGTTTACTTTTTAATTCTTTACAATTCAATACTTTATGGTGGGGAAAGACGGGCTAAATTAGCCTTTTATGTAAGAATTAATGTGCCAAATCTAATTGTTATTCGTAGTTTTTCCAGCATATATATAGAAGTAACTCTCCCTTGGAGGAAAGTTCAGTGTGTCACATAATCTGGACTGACCCAGTGTTGTAGACAACTCAGGACACCTGTGGCTTTGTAAAATTTTCATTAGCTCCCTTTCTTTTTTGGTTATAACAGTGGTGCATTGTTAGTTTAGGAGGCACATGGTAACAAAGGAAGATAGCCATATTTTCTATTTTTCTTGAAATTCTTGTTCAAAGTCTGATTTTCTTTTCTTTGACTAATTTCTTTCTCACCTTTCTTAATTTTGCCTGCTTTTAAAAATACCAAAACAATCTCCAGTTCAGCTTCTATTTATCATGTGTCTTCTCTGAATTGCTAAAGCTTGCTGTGTTACTGATCAAACAATGCTTCTGAAACCTACATGTGCAATTTTGTTTATGAGTGAAAGTTGTTTGGGAAATACGACTTATTCAGAGTTTTATTTATTTATTTTAAAGTGAACCCAGTACCTTGGTTACTTATGAAAACACTAAAAATGGTCTGGCTTTCCGTGAGTTCCTTGGTGTTTTTAAATACTCAAAGTTGTTAGAGTACTGTTGAGATGTTTTAAATACCATCTTACTGCAGAATAGCCATTTTATATTTCAGAAAGCCTCTTGATAAATCAACTCACTTTAGACAGTTCCTTGGGTAAATGGGGAGCTTGGGGGAGGTTGATATATAATGGTTAGCATGTTGAATCAGAACCCCTAAGAGGCCTTTGACCTTGACTTAGAACAGTCTCTCTTGGTTGGCCTGACCACTTTTTCCTCCTGCTTTTGCTTTGTAACTGAAGTTTACAACAGCCTCTGAGTCTGCAGCCTTTCTTCGTGTAAAAGGGCGTCCTGGTGCCTGAACATCTCATGAAAAGTTGGGCAGCAGTTGCTAGAGATTTTATCTTTCAAGGTGCTTTGCACAAATAGGTTTTCTGTTCTTCTGAAAATTGTTCGGCCAGTTGTAGAGTAGTTTTATATCTATAAACTGAATGTTTTCTTTTGGTTAAGGAGAAATTGGCCACCCATGACTGAGTAATAGGCATGTTATTAGAGAGAGAGAGGGTGCATGTTTTCAGGTTCTTTGGTGTCATCCTAATCTGGCTTGAATCCTTTCTGGAAATAGAGTAGTAACACAGAAGTAGGGCAGGCCTCAGCTATTTCTCGTCTAGCTCTCTTACTCTCATTCATAACCCTTCCCTAAGAGACAAGTACTCAGTGAAATAGTTACATAAAGAATAATTTTCATGGCACTTTCTACTGTCATGTTTTAAGTGTGCCAGGCATTCAAATATACAACAGATGAGATTGATAGGAACTGCATATTAGCTGTCCCAACAGCTTTCCCAAAGTAGGTAAATGTCTCACACTGTTTAAAATTAAACTCCTAATATTTTTTAAATCCTTAGATTCAGACAGAAACACAGAGCTGAGTCATTTAATAGCATAGGTGCAAAATTCTAGGATTTAAACTTTTGTCACTATAAAAGTGTTGGAAGCTTTGGGAACCTGAAGAGGAATCCTTGGAGGTTTAAGTGAAAATTTGAAACTGTCCCTCCAAAGATGTGAGTAGACGGAATTCTCTTGACCAACACTTACAACTTCTCAGTTGTTAGAACGCCATGCTCTGTTGTCCAGCTGTGGGAATTGTTGAGCTGAGCATGTTATGGTAACCCTGGTGTTTCTCTAACTTTGGTGAAATAGCTGTGACGGTCATATGAGAGATTGGTTTGGGCTTACTGATCCAGAGTAATTTTTATTTTTTCACCTACATAGAAGTGAATAAATAAAGCATTGGGTAAATAACATGAGGAAGAACAATTATTTCCACCCTTTTTCTTTTAGCTCATTAAAATAGTTAACTTTCTACATTTCTTTTCAGTATCATTATAGAGAAGATAATTTTGCTTCGTTCATTCAACACATTTTATTATATTCTAGTCGCTTTATTAGGTACGGGGAGAAATGGTGATAAGATCGATGAAGGTCTCTGCTTTCATGGAACTTAATTTGAAATGTAATCTCCACACTCATAGGGGTTCAAATGGAGATCTTCATTGAGGTTTGTCTTCTGCATTGCTATTTGAATATTCCTTACTGTCCAAACTGTTTCTGTAATCACAAATACCTAGTATGTCCCAGGCTTTCTGTGACTGTGGACTTTTGATGTTTGTGATGTTCTTTGCTGTCTCAAAATTACCACTTAACAGGTTTTTTTGTTTATTTATTTTTAAAATAAAGTGATATTCCATAATAGCTGAAGAATCACAGCCTTAGTCATATACCTGATTGTGATACTTAACTTAGAAAGTCATAAAACACAGATTAGTCTTTCTTTTCTTCTGGGTAGATCTATCCTCCATTAAGCCAATTTGTAACTGAGACTTAATTTGAAGCCTGTTGTACTATACTTCTTGAATCCAGATTTTAGTATGTTTGGTCAAGTGGTCCACACAGCTTACTGGTATTTCCCTTCTGTCTTTTTTTTTTTTTTTTTTGTGAGACAGAGTCTCGCTTTGTTTCCCGGGCTAGAGTGAGTGCCGTGGCGTCAGCCTAGCTCACAGCAACCTCAAACTCCTGGGCTCAAGCAATTCTTCTGCCTCAGCCTCCCAAGTTGCCGGGACTACAGGCATGCGCCACCATGCCCGGCTAATTTTTTCTATATATTTTTAGTTGTCCAGATAATTTCTTTCTGTTTTTTAGTAGAGACGGAGTCTCGCTCTTGCTCAGGCTGGTCTCGAACTCCTGACCTTGAGCGATCCACCAGCCTCGGCCTCCCAGAGTGCTAGGATTACAGGCGTGAGCCACCGCGCTCGGCCTCCCTTCTGTCTTTATCAAGCATCAGTATCTTTGATCTTTTTAGAGTTGCCTGACCTAACAGTTGTGATTATAAGAACTATATATATAATTGATAACCCTCAGAAGGCAGATGATTGGTTCTTCACCTGTTAAAGCAGATTAATACTTTAGAGTTGATGGTGGATAACTCAACCACTTTTTTCTTCAAGAGGCTCTCCAGATACCATATTGAGCAAAAATAGTTATCTGCAGTACCAAGAAGAGCAGGACCCTAGCCAAATCATTTAATGTTGCCCATTTGATGTTTTACCAACAAAATTTCTCTGGAATGTAGCAGCGCTCCCCCTTTGCATAGCTAAGAATCCCAACTGTCTCAGCTGCTTGTGGTTGTCTGCCCAGGACAGCTAAGTCTTTTTCATGTCCAGTCTTGGTTTACCTTATTTTTTTACAAGTTCAAAAACAGAAACATTTGGGTTTTCATATAAACAGACACTGTCTTGTTACACATATGTTTATGTATTTCTTCTTAAAGAATAATTGTGAATTCAGCCCTATAACAGTAGTTTAATTTTTATCTTAGACAGTGGTCTTTAAAGAGACTGACATTTTCTAAGGTGCTTCATACCAGGTACTATTTTTCTTGACCTAAGAAACATACGCTTTTGCCAGGCACCAGGTCCCAGAAAGATAAAGAGAATTTGCATGTATTGCCCGTATGTCATCCACAACCTCTCCGCCAGCAGTAGTCGCCCTTTATAGGGTTAACTTAAGAGGGCACTTTGGTGGCAGGTTTTTTTAAAAAAGAGAGTATGCCAAAACTTGGTGGCTACTGTTTCAGCTGCTCTCCTTTAAGAATCAAGGGCCACAGAGAGCATCGTTCATAATGGAGCTGAGATTTCAGCAGTAGTACTCTGGTTGCTTTTCTCTCTGGTTCCTTTCCAGTAATGAGCCAACAGATATGTCAGCACTAGCCTGGCACTTTGAAAGAAGGAACTGAGGCATCCTAGAGTACTAGTAGGAGGTAAATTACAATCATCCCCTGTTCTGAGAGTCCTCCTATGTCCAGCTTTTCACAGTGATTAATTTTTATAATGAATGTATATATTCCAAAAGAGAATATATACAGGTTTCTGTCTACAGTTAAAAAGGAGTATATCAGTTGCTGTGTATTAGAGACACTTCACAGGAAAGATCACATCTAGTCATTGTGCGGGCTGCCTATACAGCTCAAGTAATCAGAACTAGTCAGCACCTAGGTTTCTTATTTTGAATTAGTTCACATGAAAATAGGTACACAGGAGTAAGTACCAAATAAGACCTTTGGCACTTCCTTTTTTACCAAAACCATTTCTCTGTATTGCCATTCCCATCCTTTCCATGAGTTGCTCTGGCTGGTGCCTGGCTCCTGGGACGATAGTTTATTGATGTTGTTGTGGAGGGAGATCATCCCCTTGTTCATATTTTCACCGTCACTGTTTAAACCTGAGATCTAAACTTTCACTTTACTCCTTTGTTTTGTATTTACACATAGTCTCTTGAGCTCTTGAGTATTTTATAGTTAGAGACCACAGGAAAAAAGTCATATATCAGGCAAAAAGCAATTTTACAATGAGCATGATACCATAGAAATTACTCCTTGTATGTTTCATCCTCTTGTCTCTATGGAAAATCTGGCAACAATCAGATATATTTTTATTTTGAATGACAGCTTAAAAAATTCAAGTGAAAATGGATATATGTGACTTTTTGGTAGAGGAAACAGTCTCCCAAAGATGTAGGCCAGTGCTTCATCTCCATGGCTCTTCACAGATATCATTCTTAAGTTCTACAGATTCAGTGTAATTTGTGGCCTTGCCTGGGGATCACCTAAAATACATGTTGTCTTGAGGAACTGCCTTGCTTTTGCCATATGTGCATTCTCATAGGGTTAGACTATTGGTCAGAAGATGTTGATTCTGATAATTCCTTCTTTATTTTTTTGGGACAGAATCCGGCTCTGTTGCCCGGGCTAGAGTGCCGTGGCATCAGCCTAGCTCACAGCAACCTCAAACTCCTGGGCTCAAGCAATTCTTCTGCCTTAGCCTCCCGAGCAGCTGGGACTACAGGCATGGGCCACCATGCCCGGCTAGTTTTTTCTATGTTTTTTTAGTTGTCCAGCTAATTTCTTTCTATTTTTAATAGAGACGGAGTCTCGCTCTTGCTCAGGCTGGTTTTGAACTCCTGACCTCAAGTGATCCTCCCGCCTCGGCCTCCCAGAGTGCTAGGATTACAGGCGTGAGCCACAACGCCCAGCCTGATAATTCCTTCTTATCAGTAGTATGAGACATTATATCACTCAGGGATATGTGGGTAGGTTTATGTCTGTATGTGAGACAAAGAAAGAGGCCTCTCTTCTACAATTTCGTAATAAACTGCACCTGGCATAGGACCACTGATTGCCTAACATTTTTTTCTTTTGCTTGAACTCAGGGGCAGAGGCCTGGCCTCCAGGGGTTTGTCTTAAATATGTCGGGGGAGACCAATTTGGACATGTGAACATGGTGATGGTGAGATCGCTAGAGCCCCAAGAGATTGCAGATGTCAGCGTCCAGATGTGCAGCCCCAGCAGAGCAGGAATGTATCAGGGACAGTGGCGGATGTGCACTGCTACAGGACTCTACTATGGAGGTGAGTATGTACTTGTGCAGCCCAGGGTGAAGGAATTAAGGTAACATCATACAACATCCCCAGTGTTGCTCACAGAGCCTGTTGAATTGCATAACAGGGCATGGCCTCTTTTAAACAGTCACCCCATGCAGTAAATGATTTGAATTTAATGACTAATTGGTTCAGTCTAGTGCTCTTCCTTTTGTCCTAGGAATTTAAGTAAAATTTAGTGACCTATATGAGATATTATATTTTGCATTCTAAATTATGATTTAGTAGTGCTCTTGTTTTTATTGTATAATCTGGTATGTGCTGTAAGAATACTGAAGGCAATCCTGTTCTCAAAGTTACTAGAGACAAGTCATATAAAACAGATAATGCACAAAATGTGCATACTCCTTCCATCCTGACTGCTTGTAAAACTACCAATACATCTGACTCCTCTTTACTGACAAACTTATTGAACAGTGATCTGTACCCATTGTCTCTTCTTCCACATCTTCCCTTCACTCTTTAATCCAATCTATCCTTTACCCACTCTCCACGCCAATGAAAGTTTATCATTGATTACCCAGTTTCTAAATCTGATACGTTCTTTACAGTCTTCGTACTAGCCAACCTTCTAATTATCATTTGGCACCATACTACAAAAGTCTTTTGAAATGTGTACTTTTTAGCCTCATATGACACCTCTCCTGTTTCTCCTTCTCTCTGAATGTTCTTTCTGTCTCTGTCTAGTTTTATCTTTGCCCTGGGATTCCGAGATTCTGAGCTGGGCCCCATTCATCCTCAGTGACTTCATCCACCCATGTGGCTTTACTTGTTACCAGTATACCATATGCAGTGTTGCTCAAATTCATATCTGTGGCTGTGTCCTCTTTTCAGAGCCTCAAACCCAAATTTTAACCCCTTATGGGCAGGACACCTAGATGTCCTGTAGATTTCTGGATTTTAACATCTCCTGGACAAAACTTATGTCCTTCTCATTGGCAATCCACTGAGATGATCTGGCCAGAAACCTTGGAGTCATCATTTGTTCTCTGTCTTCCTTAATCACAGTGGCCTTAATCACCGTAAGCCAGTGGGACCCTTGGAGTTAATCGCAAGGGGTCCTAGAATTAATGTAATCATATATGTTTTTGGAGCCAATGAAAACTTTAAAAATTTTTAGTCTCAAAAAACTTTAATATTAGAAAAAGTGTCTCATAGTGCTTATGCAACATTCTTCTTTGCCTAAAAGTGTTGTACCTAATGTATTGAAGCCAAACTCCTTGGCATGGGACTTAAAGCTAATGACCTGATCTGGCTTTATTTTCACTTTCATCTTCAGTCACCTCCTAACTTACCCACAGTCAGTCCCTGAAGATGCCACATGCTTTCACTTCTCCATGCCCTTGCTTATGTACTTCCCATTGCTTGAAATATCTTTTTCTTCCAGTAAGCTCCCACTTATCCTTAAGGCCCTGATTAAGTCACCTTTGCCCCTTCCCTCCACCCCCTTGCCTACTCTCCCCACTAGCCTAAGGAATTCATCCCTCCTTTTTCATGAATATCATACACATGCTTGTTATTATATTGAATTATCTGGTGAAGCTTTCCTGGGTGTTTTTCTGCTAAAGCTTTGGCTAACTTTCTCAAAACACTCTCATAATAAGCAGATGTAATTGTTCTTTGGTCCTCCAGAAAGTCAAAAAGTAAAATGCCTTGAGCATTCCCCAAAAATTGTTGCCATGACCTTTTCTCTTGACCAGTCTGCACTTTGTTTTGACTGGACCACTTCCATCTGTTGGTAGCTATTGATTTGATTGTAATTTGTCTTAAGGATTGTAGTGGTAAAGCCATGTTCCATCTCCTGTTACAATTCTTCAAAGAAATGCTTCAGGATCTTGATCCCACTTGTTCAGAATTTTCATTGAAAGCTCTGGTCTGGTCTGTAGCTGATCTAGGCACAATGGTTTTGGGACCTGAGTGAAGAGTTTGCTCAACTTTAATTTTTCAGTCATAGTTGTGTAAGCTGAACCAATGGAGATGTCTGTGGTGTTGGCTGTTGTTTCTGCTGTTCATCATCAGTCCTCTTCAATCAGGGCACAGATAAGATTCATTTTTTTCCTCAAAAATGAATGTGGATGGTCTGCTGTTACGGGCTTCATTTTTAATATTGTCTTGTCTTAAAAATGAATTATCCATTTGTCAACTGCTGATTTCTTTGGGGCATTGCCCCCAAAAAC